TCCCTACGTTTTGATGTAAAATTTATCTAGATAGAGTAAAAGATGAGCGAGTGAGTTGAAGCTGTTCGGCATAAGTGAAATGTTTGAAAACGCTAGAGTGGCACACTCTAGCAGCTGAACATTCCGTCCATAGACTTCCATTATAAATTTGAAAATCTTTAAAAATTGTTTAAAAGTTTGAAGCTTCACTGAAGCAAAACTGTAAAAGTTAGCAAAAAGCCGAGTTAAACTGTAATAGCAGAAAGATGCGGAAACATTTTAAAAGTTGAATGGTGTTTCTAGCTGAAAGTATGCAGAAGTAGTTAAAGAGCAAAATAGCAGAAGATTTAGCAGAATTTTAGCAAAATGCCATTCATTTCAATGAGGCAAAAATTTGCAGAAAAAGCTGAATAATTTAAAAAGCAAAAGAGGTAGAAATACAAAAAGACATAGCGCGCATGTCCTAAATGAGCTGAATATTGTGAAATTTGAATGGTTGAAATAGCATAAAGTATGCAGAAGTAGTAGCGTGACAAAAATTTGCACCACGGAAGAAGAATAATAATAATAACTAGAAAAAGCTGTTTCGGAGAAACATCAAAGTGGGAATGCTTTTGCTGAATGAAAAAAGCTGAAATTACCTGAATAACATATGAAAATGTGATAGGAAGTCATCAGAAACTTCAAACTGCAGAAAACAATTGAATCATCTGAAGATTTTGTAGGGTAGAATCATTTGGCAGTAAAATGGCAGAAACAAACTCATCTTAAAAGCTGCACAGCCAAACCATACATGATATCAAAAAATGTCTTGAATGTGGGCACTAGAAGGGTCTTAATATAATGTCTCCCAAGTTTCTAGAAAAATGTATAAAGAAATTTTGAAGGGGGGTTTACCTACTTTCCAGAAACATGTCAGGCGTGTTATGAATTAGCAGCAAACAGAAAAGCTTAATTCCTGTCCAGAAACAGAGCAGAATGAAGCCAAAGTTCACAACATAGGCTGAAAAGTATGAAATTAGCTGAAGTAGAAAAGAAATTACAAAGAAAAACTTTAATCTTATCTGGTTGAAGAAAAAATTAGTAGCTTAAGGATGGGAAGTAAAATGTTGAGGACGATGGTATTGAATAAGTATTAACATTTTAAAATCATATGTGGAAATGTCAAGACTTGGCAAAACAATTGGAAAATTATTTAAAATGTGTCGGTTGATCAGCATAAAGAAAACAGTGGTAGTCAAAATTGGAAAAAAATGCCTACAGCATTCACACAATAATAATAATAATAATAATAATAAAGAAAAACAGAAAAACAATAAGTGGGAATGCTTAAGCATTCCCACTTGATAATATATTTTCTAAATTACATTTTTGTATCAGAAACTGAATTTTAAAAAGTGAAAGTCAACAAAATTATTCTGGTAAGAAACAAGTTTTATACATCTAGTAATGTTTACACATTTTAGGAGGCCGTTCTGACATTTATCAGCTTGACTTAAAATGTATGCTATCTTAAAAACATTTAATTCTCTGAAAAAGTGTTTATTATTCTTTAAGAAGATCGTCGTCAAACAGACATTCAAAGTTTGTTTTTAAACCTAATGTGTGTAACGGACCTTGGGAATGATATATATGTATTTTTATGCACAATACTACGACAAAAATCTGACTAAATGGGGAAATAAAACAACGTTATTTGCTGTAAGGAGAGCAAAGACAGGGCGGTCCGTGTTTACTGAAGAAAACCTGCTACTGACCAAATTAGCTCTGAGGTGAATGTTAATATAACTCTCTGTGAAGCGGAAAAGTCGGAGTTTCCATGTTTTCAGGTTTAATTTTGCAAACTGGCCTCGTGAAACGGACCCCAGATCTACATGTTTGATTACTAGAGCCAACTTAAACCCAGCTGCTTCACCCTGAAAGTGACTCAAACTGCTTTTAAAGAACTAGAATCCTTTATTAATGAATTTTGGATCCATGATAAATAGAAAGTTTAATTAAATGATGATAAACTTTCTGTTTTCCTTTAGTTTAGCTCCTAACAGTAGAAATGATCAACTAAATGTTTCTCTCATTTTGATTTACCTTGTTTATAAACCCGACTCTAGAAAAACATGTAGTTCTGGTAACATTTAGGTTCTGCTGGACCTGGAACCATTCGGGCTGAAAGTTCTCTGTTGTTCCCCCCCACAGGATGAGAACCACTCAGGGACTCTAGGTTACACCAACCCTCATCCGGACATTCAGGAGCCCCCTGCCCAGAGGGACACAGAGTGAGTCCTTCCTCCTGTTCTGGTTCCAGAGCAGAAGGTCTGGAGTCCTTTCTGACTGGTTCAGACTGGTTCTGACTGGTTCAGAGGGCCAGCAGGAACAGACATGATGTTCTGTGGTTCTGTTCAGACTCTCCTTAGAATATTTTATGGTTCTAAACGTAATGATTCAACCTTAAAGTTTCTGAAAGGCCCAGAAATGTAGCTAAAGCTGTAAAGAAAGAACAACTGCAGTTTTTCAGTCTGTCGCCATCTGGTGGTGTCAGCCTGGAACTAGTCTTGAGGTTGACTGACAGAAGACTGCTGTTCTCACTATCAGTCGTTCACTATCAGTGGGACTGAGTGTCATGTTTCTGTTGGTGGTTTGAATCTTGTTTAGGAGCAACATTCTGACCCAGATCTCTGAAGATGAGTCTGAGTTTTATTCTAGATCCTCCTCATTTACATCTCATCATGTGCCTCCTTGTGGTTGCAGTAGAAACTGCACCTTTAGTGCCCAACTTGAAGTCAACGTTTTAACCAATCAGGGGGTCTTATTGGGGGTCTCTGTTTCAGCTTCCTGACCAACGGCAGCATAAGGAGCGCATCTAACCCTGTCCCTCAGGAGGAGGCTCCGCCCAACATCTCTGCAGAGCGGAAAGCACACACGCATCGACACACACAGGTCAGCTCACAAACACGCTGCACTACATCTACTCAGAGATTAATTTCAGAAAATAGTCCTGAAAATGTTTTAGAGAGCTGCAGTTGATCGGTTAAAGATGGATGCAGCTGAAGGAGGTTTGGGGTTAAATCTTCAGTGTCTGAGTGCTGAAACTGAAACCCTTATTATTCCTGTAATGGGGGTAGGGCTGCAACTAACGATTATTTTAAAAATCGATGAATCGGACGATTATTTTTTCGATTAATCGATGAATCGGACAAAAAATATTTTTTATATTAACCTCTTTATTCCAAAATAAACATTATAGACAGAACAAACAAGCACACAAGTACAGGTTGCTCATTAACTGTACTGGTGCAATATGAAAAATAAATGTTTGTGTTAAAACTACGCAAACTTACATGAGAAATGTGTCTGTACATCCACATATATATCTGTATATCCACTGTATATCGATTCGTTGTTGCAGCCCTAAATGGTGGGGGGGGGGTTTAAGGCCTCAAGTTCCCTCTAGCACTTTGATTTCTAAAAAGCTCCTAGCGCCAAATCTAGAGACTTTTTTCTGCTACTGGAGACTTTGGAGACAACATCTAAAAGCAGCGAACTCTGCTCTCCAGAGCGAGTAGATTGGTAACCCCGCCTCCTGCTCTCCTCTATCTTGTCTGCTGTCATGATTCATGCAGCTATTATTTCATCCAAATGAAAAATGGAGAACAGATAAGCAGATCATGGCTTGTCTACAGTGAAAAGAAGGACTGGGTTATTTACTTTGGCCTTTTTGGAAACACAGGAAGGAGCAATCAGCTAAGTGAGCTTAGTGCTTGGAAAAAATCTTTCATTCCTTTAGAGACAGCATGAAAAGTCAGCTGAGTACAAAACATAGAGAGCTGCTCAAGATTTATAGCTCAGCAGCTTCCAGTCCATCAGAGTGGAGGTTTTCTCTGTTGGTAACCTACATGTGATGTCAGACCGGGTCCAATGAGGTCATGAACATCCTGTAAAGCTCCTCTGCCTTAAAAACAGTTCACTGTTTTCAGAAAATAATCAATTTGAACAATTTTTTTTTTTGTTTTTAAATAAATAATCAAACTGATTCCTGTTAACAGCGAAGGTCAAACTAAGTCAATATTAAACATTTTTGCCCTCGTTGATAATATTTCACTATATTGCTAGATCCTTGCTGTAGTTCTTTGTATTGTTTGAGCTGTTAAATCTTTTTCTAACCACAGAAGAAGAAGAAGAAAAAGGTACGCCGAGTCCCAGCTGAGTTGACCAGAGAGCACTGCCCTCCCGTAGCTCCGCCCCCAGGTAAGGGCCCTCCCGTCTCTGCTGTCTTGTCTCCAAACACACGCCTGGTTTTATGGCTGCATGGAGATTTGGAGGTTTTAGAACGAGTTCTGTCAAATTCAGAGAAATCTTTTTTCATGCTATAAACATGTTGTCGGCTTCTGATGTTACTCCAGCAGGGCGTGAGGTTCGGCTGTCCGACAGAGCTGAAGTCTTTGAATGCACCACAGTTCAGGTTGTACAGTGCAAAAAACATCTAGAAAGAAGTAAAAAATGTCTTAAAATGAGGTGTATTTCTAGCCTGACGTAGTCCGACTCAATTCTAGTCAGAATGAGTCTGATGCTGCTCCATAGAGCTGTGATTATGGGGCGTGTTTCGAACGAACCAGGAAAAAAAATGCCTCTGCACTCAATTGGATAGACCTACAACCAATAAGAGCAACGGAGTGCGTGACGTATGTTAAGCGACGCATAGTTGTTGTCAACAAAAATCAAAGCGTGCAGTTGCACGCCTAGAATAAGAAGATGAGCCTTGATCGCGTTTCTCTGTTCCTCTTTTAAAATTAATTTGCTGTCGATATCTTCTAGAACAGACCTAATAGCAGAATCTACTCACCTCAACTCTCCAGCGGCAGCCATTGTTGTTGTCACCCAAGTGCGCTTTGGTCACGTGGTTGATTACGTTACTGTTGATCATCTGTCCATCATTGTATAATGGAATTTCCCATTGGGAACCTGCTAGCACTAAGGCCCCGTCCACACGAGGTCAAAATGAACACGAAACGCTAATATTTTCCAGAACGTTTGTCGTAAAGACGGAGACGTAAAATAAATGTGATCGTCCACACGAATGCATGAAAACGCTGCAAAATGTATGCCAGGCCTGTAAGTGGCGCTGTGGTGCCAAAGCAAAAATAGGCGACGAAATGTTGGGCATGTGCAGTAATATTTATACATGGTTGCCCTGCGGGTCCATTTTGGTGGTTCAGTCAAATTCAGGTGCTGAACTATGTGGTCGATATTGCTCTGTTCTTCCTGGAGATATTCCAGAAGAAGAAGATTCTGTTGTAAGCCCGACAGCAGGGTGAGTAGCATGAGCAGCAACCATTCAACACAGTACGGCGCCATTGTTGTTGTGATACTGTGTCGCGCATGCGTGTTTAGAGGCGACGCTATGACGCATGCGTGTAAGAAAAAAAAAATACAGTTAGAGCTTAAAGATGGAAACACGAAAACGGCGTTTCAGAATCTTCCCACTCTGAAGGCTTAATAAAAAAAAGATCGTTTACAGACCCCCGAAACGCCGGCTTCGTATGGATGAGAGGCTGGTTTGGTGAAAAATTAGTGCGTTTAGGCCAGGGTTTGACTTCCTGTGGACGAGGCCTGAGGCTGTTTCTGATTGTTTGCCTGCTGGAGGTCATTTTGTAGGGCTCTGGCAGTGCTCCTCCTGCTCCTCCTTGCACTAAGGAGCAGATAGCGGTCCTGCTGATGGGTTGTAGACCTTCTACGGCCCTGTCCAGCTCTCCTGGAGTAACTGCCTGCCTCCTGGAATCTCCTCCAGGCTCTTGAGATTGTGCTGGGAGACACAGCAAACCTTCTGGCACGTATTAATGCGCCATCCTGGAGGAGTTGGACTGCCTGTGCAACCTCTGTAGGGTCCAGGTAGCGCCTCATGCTGACAGTAGTGACAGTGACCGTAGCCAAATGCAAAACTGGTGAAAAAGAGTCAGAAAAGAGGGGGGGAAAAAAGGGGAAAATGTCTCCACCTGTAAAACCATTCCTGTTCTGGTGGTCTCGTTGTTGCCCCTCTAGTTCACCTGTTGTTCATGTCATTCACACCAAAGCAGCTGAAACTGATTAACACCCCCCTCTGCTACTAACCCAACCAAATCAATATCCCAGAAACTTAAATAACTTGATGCTTTACTCTGATTACAAAGTGATCCTTTATTTTTTCTGAGTAGTGTGTCTATATAGAGTCATGGTTACACGTTTATGGCATTAAAAGTATTTCTAAGATCAGTAAAAACATTAAATTGTGGTTATTTATTCCTGTATAAACCCTTTCCCTGTTCTCTCCGCTCCAGCAGCAGAGCCCAGCAGCACGTCTGCCTTTTCCTTGGGTCAGCGGCTTCCTTTCCCAGCATTCCCACTGAGGGCCTCCCTGCCCCCCCTGGCCCCCCCCCTGGGCTCCGTCCAGGCTGCCGCCCCTCCGGCAGAGTACCACTCAGACTCCGCAGAGTCCCTGGAGGAGATCCCGGTGGCCCTGGCCAAGCTGGGTTCCTCCTCGTCCGCAGCAGCCGGGGAGGCCTCCAGATCATCCCGCATGCTGATCCGGGGCGTTCAGCAGCAATCCCCCCTCCCCAGGGCAAAGAAGAAGACCTCCTCCTCTCGAGCCAATAAAAACCCAGCCGAGCTGAGGTTTGAAATGGCGTCCACGCAGCCTCCGTCTGTGTTTGTAAGTCGGTCGAGTGGAGAGCCTGGTGAGGACTTTGGTCTGGGCTGGGAGCAGACCAGAACCAGACCTGCATCCAGGACGTCTCTGGGTTCCCAGCGGTGACCGGAACCTTCTTCAGCGTCTCTGCTGAAAAGGAAGGGACTTTTATTCTGAAAGGGTCCGCTCTTATTTAAAGTTGGACATGATTTTTTTTATTTGACGGACAAAGTGACTCCCTGTGTGTGTTCCCCCCCGATTATTATCGGCTCCTTGGCAGCCCAGCCTCCTTATTTCAGGGCTGGAGACATAAAATTTGATTAATATATTTTATAATTTATCTCAATGAGCACAACTTTGTGTTATTTGTCATTTCTTTAACTGTTAGGAGCGCCCCCAGGGTGCTAAAGTAGGTACTGCAGGTTAAACAGAGCAGGTTTGCTCAGGAGGCTGCAGGTGTTTTATTTTAGTCCTGCTTACCTGCAACTGGAGAAGGAGGACCGGGCAGAATGCTGGAGCTTCTCTGCAGCTCCGCCTGCTGAGGTCTGACCAAGGCAGAGCCGCTGGTCTGACAGTCAGACCAACGCAACAATTTAACGAGAATGTTACAAAAACGAAACTTCTGCTGTGGGGAAAATAAAATCTGTTAACCAGCGGGGATCATATCTATAACAGCCTGGAACACAGAACACATTTTATAAAGCAAAATGGTTTAATAAACTGACTTAATCGAGCAGCAACTGCTGCTGTGTGTCTACTGATAATGCTGGGAAATTTCCGAATACATATTCCTCCTTAAAGCTTCTAGTGGAGGATGTTCTTTTTCCGGCTGGATCATCAAAATAAGTGGTCCTCCTAACTGTCAATCATTCTGGTGATGCGTTTAGGTAAGGCCGTCCTACGTGCTCTTCTTTTAGAAAGTAAGCTTGTATGAGCGATGCAAACTAGGGATGCACGATATTGGGATTTTGGCTGATATCCGATATGCCGATATTTTAAAACTCATGTAGCCGATAACCGATATCGATACCGATGTTAAAGCTGGACAAAAATAAGTAGTCATTGAAAATAGCAGTTTTGTTATCCATTTCTGACACTTTGAAAAATAATATACTCAAATATATTTTCATATGCTGATATCAAACTGATTTTTAAAAACGCGGTATCGATCTATTTTACTTTCAAAATCTCGTGACATTTCATCGTTCTGTTACAAACTCGTGATATTTTGCAAATTCTTGTGAGATTTTGTTAGTAAAATAGATCGATACCGCGTCAATATATCAACATATAAAAATATGGCAACATTTGGTGAATTTTCGGGGGATTTCGTAGCATAACGATGACATATAGCAATATTTCATTAGTAAAAGAGATTGATATGGTGTTTTTAAATGGCAATATATCAGCATATGAAGATATTGGGATATTTTAATGGTTCAATATTTTTTCCCTCGTCTTTAGAAGTTATATTTTTTAGACTTTAGAAACTCAGAAGCTGATCAAATATCGGGTTAAATATCGGTGGGGTGGCCGATGTCCGATATTCAGTTTTAAGGCCGATACCGATAGGGGGCCGATTATATCCTGCATCCCAAATGCAAACAGCAACTTTTTTTTTTTTTTTTTTTTTTTTTTTTTTTTTTTTTTTTTTTACAGTGTCCTGTCTGGCAAGGTGGCAATAAGAATAATTGTCTTGATGCCAAAAGGAGCCCAACAGATTTTACTTTCACAAGTGGAGCGGTGCATACCGCTCCACTTGTTTCATGTATATAAATTGCTTTATTATAATTATGCAGGGAGTTTTACAGTTCATATGGACACTGCAATGTAAGTAGAGCAGAAAAACAGAAGAAGAAGAAGGAAAAAGAAAAAAACAGGACAAAAGATGAAAGAAAGAGGAGATAGGAAGGAGACAATGACAAAACATTTTCAGTCTGCTTCAACACCTGTAATGAGATGGAAAAAAAAAAAAAAAAAAAAAAAGAACAGCACAACCAAAAAACATGGTACGAGATATACAATAAAGCAAACACCTTGAAACTATCACTAAAGTAATATTATTAAGTCTGACATGTACTCTGTGTTACCTGAAGATATGAATGTGGGGTTTCTGTTTGGAAGTGAATCTCTTAGTACCTGAAGCCTAGCACCTGTAGTTGTTTGTGAGGGTGAACTTGTGCATGTAAAGTTTTAACCATAGAAAAAAATGCTCAATAGTGGTTGTGGAGAGCCGGAGAGGCACACCCCCCAGAGCACTGAGTCCAGCGCCGGGAGACCCAAAGCCCCAGGCGCCCAAGGGGACCCCAGAAGCGAAGGCACCAAGGCGGGGCCAGCCCCGGAAATCAGACCCCGCCAAGGCAGGAGGAGAGACAGCCACGAGGAAGCCCCCCAGCCACCGCCATGCCGGCGCCCCGGGGAGCCGCGGGGACGAGTCCGCGGGCCCCGCCGGCAGCCGGCCACCCCGAAGTAGGGCCGGGCGCCGAACACCAGCCCCCCCACGGCGCCGGCCGAAACGCCCCAGCCCCACCGAGCACCGAAACACGCCCCGCCCCCGCACCAAGCCCCGGCGACCGGCCGCAACACCCACCGCGACCGCACCACCCAGGAAAACACTAAGACGGCCCCGCCCCCGGCCGGGGCCCATGCGCATCCGCCGCGAACCGGCCACGAGCGCCGCGGGACACCCCCCAAAACGCCCCCCCCGGCCAAAAGCGCAGCCCCACCCCACCAAGACCGATGCCAACAGCGCGCAACGAAACACACCGCGCACAGAATCAGCCCGAGAGCAGAAAAGCCGCCCGGCGCAAAACCGCAAGAGGAGCAGACCGCAGCCGGCGCAACCACCCCCCCCCAGCAGCCCGAGGGGCAGCACAAAGCCAGAGCGGAGCGAACCGCGCCGCCCCCCCCACCGGACGATGCCAAAGCAGCCCAGCCACGTCCGCCACCCCCCCCCGCAGCCCGCACCAGGCCCCGACACGCGGCCAGAGCAGCTCCGCCGCCCCGGCCCCCCCACCACGCGCCGGTCATAGCCACCCCAGGCCCCCACCCGCCCCGCAGCCCCACCCGCCGCGATCAGCGGGAACAGAGCAGCCCCGCCATGCCTCCAGGAGGGAAAACCCACCCGAATACCCAGCCAGCGCAGCCAGCCCGCCCAGACCGGCCCCCCAACACTACCCCCGCCGGAGCCGCCCGGACCCCCACACACCAGCGGCGCGCCGCCAGCAGGACCCCCACCCAGCAGGCCCGCCTGCCCCCCGAGAAAACAGACATGCCAAACCCCCCAAAGAAAAAAAGAGAAAAAAAAAAAAAAAAAAAAAAAAAAAAAAAGGGGCCCCCACAATGCGACAGCGGACACCAGACACCGACCCGCCCGCAACCGCTCCCCCCCACCGAGGAAGAGAAAAAAAAAAAAAAAAAAAAATAGGTAAATAAATAAATTAATTAATAATTACAATTAAAATAAATAGGCAAGAGGAGAAGTGCGAGCGGAAAAACCGGAGCCCAAAACAGGACCCAAGACCCGCACCCCACCATGCCGCGCAGCTCCCCCCCTCCCCGAACCGATACCACAGAACCGGCATAGGAAAGAAACACCGCCCAGGAACCGGCATCGTAGCGAAGGCACCGGCACCGACCCCGAAAATCCCCGAACAACACCCAGCCCCACCCCGAAGCGGATCCAGTCCCAGGCCCCAGGGATCCGAGGCCCCAAGGGCACCCCACCCCCAGACAGGAGCCCCAGCAAAGCCCCGGCCGGCCGGGGCCAGCGGAGAGGCCGCCAGGAATGAGCCAGCAGTCCCCCGGGCATCCACCCCCAGCTCCACCAGTGCACCGGTGAGCCCCGACGCCAGCCAGCGGAGGGAGAGCAGGACGGGGGGAATGGGCTCCGCACTTAGCGGAGACTTGAGATGTATTTGGGAGAGGGTGCGGTTGAGACCCCAACCTGGGAAAGAAAAAAAAAAAAAAAAAAAAAAAACACACCATCTCAATCATGCCTTCCCTCCCTAGTGCCCCCACTCGTACCACAGGAAAAAAAAAAAAAAAAAAAAAAAAAAAAAAAAAAAAAAATTGAATAAAATAATAATAATAATAAATAAAGAAAATAACAACGCAGACACACATTCACACATAACACTCACATCCAATAATACCAGGACCAAAAACCCGGTGACACCGGTGGTCGGTCCCGGGACTATCGGATGACCCCATAAGTGAACCTAAAATCCGGATGTGAGGGGAGGGGAGCGGCGACACCGCCACACCAACCCATCTCTTTCCTGCTTCAAGCCCGGCCCCCCACCCCGCACACGGACCGGACCACCCCCCGCAAGAGCCCCCCCCGGGACCGGGGCCCACCCATCCCGCGCCGGCCACCCAACCAGAACCGCCCCCCCCCCCCCCCCCCCCCCCCCCGAAAAGAACAAAAAAAAAAAAAAAAAAAAAAAAACCTTCAACCAGGCACTTCATGCCCCTCCATCCAACCTTCTTTGGGGAGAGCAGAGGTGACAGCCCCGCCACCAGCAGGCCACCTAGGCCCCGCAGCCAGCCCCAGCCAAAACCACGGACCAGGTGGCCCGCTCTTCCTCCAGGCCCCTCCAGGCCCCTCCAGGCCCCAAACAGCAACTTTTAAATAGAGCGTGCACCAGGAGGAATGGTCTTGTGAACGCTCTCGCACACATGTAATAGACGTTGCCTCTTGGGAGCGGGTACAGGGCTGTGCATGTGCATTTTTGTTATAGTGGAGAGATGTACAAATTTCAAAACTTTGCGAAAATCCTCCTCTATACCTTTAATGCTAGACCTCGGAGTCCAGTGGTCTGCAGAGGGAGCCATAATGTAGCCAGAAAAACGTGAAGGGTCTGATGGAGGTGCGTGTTTTAGATATTATGATCTGCAAAGTGACAAAAGTCCTCTACTTAAAAAGCTGATGAAGTGCTTCCAAAGGCTGGTTAAAGAACACATCGTCTCCAGTCTGCCGCCAATATTCCACCCGTTCCAGTTCGCCTACCGACGGAACCGCTCCACTGAGGACGCCATCTCTGCTGCTCTCCACCTGAGCCTGGCACACCTGGAGGAGAGGAACACCCACGATGGATGCTGTTCCTGGACTTCAGTTCAGCTTTCAGCACCATCATCCCACAGCACCTGATGAGCTCCACTGCCAAAGGAGGCCGCAGGAAACAGTTTTTGTTTTTTTCTTCAGAATGGTAAGATTGAAATCACAGCAAGGCTGATTCTGTAATGAACACGG